ATTTAATAAGTATGATCTTCTCTAGATAGGATATCAGCTTACCCCTCCACCCCACAATGCTAGCTTGGATCTTATCAATAAGGAATTGTAAATCTTCTCTACTCGGCTTATTAATATGCAAAGATATTCCTAAATATTTGATGGGAAAATCTCCCACCACACATTAAAAGATATGAACAAAAACCCAAGCTCATCTGCTCCCATGTTACTGGGAATCAGAGCACTTTTATGATAATCAATCCTCATGCCTGACACTTGTTCAAAAAAAGTGAGCATCCACTTCAAATTCAAGACTATTCTACTTTCATTCTGTAAAAAAGGAGGGTATCATTAGCATATTTTAAACACATGACGCCCCCATTGACTAGTCCAGGAAAAAGTCATTTCACTAAACCTGCTTGATTTCCTAAAATCAACATTCTAGAGAACAAATCTACCACTAGATTGAAAATGAGAGAAGAAAAAGGTTCACCCAGCCTCTGTCGCTTGCCTACGAGGAAGAAATCAGTCTCAACTCCATTTGATTTGACTCCAACAGAGCCATTCTCAGTCAGGCTCTTAATCCAGATAGTCCACTTGGAACCAGAACCCCTAAGAGCTAGCACTTCATATACAAAGCCCAAATTAACTTTATCATATACCTTCTCATAGTAAATTTTAAAAACTAACCCCTGCTGCCCAGAAGAATGAACAACATGGACAATCTGATGAGCAGTTTTGGATCCATATGTTTCATGCTATAGTTAGATTTATCCTAATTTTTCTCTTGTATTTGCGGATGCTTGCGAGAGAGGGTAATTATAAGTAGATTGTTTGTTCAAGTAATAACAACACCTTAGCACCGACCACCCACATAATAACTTATCAAAGCAGTGAATGCAAGTCAATGAATCATGGTGAAAGTAACTAGACGAAATCCCCGCGTGTCCTCGAGAATGCTTTAATCACTACTCCCTTTGTTCCTTTATATAAGGTGTATTTGTTTTTCCCAAAAAATTTGTAATGTAATGTGTATTTCTCTTTTCCTATCAGTTTTTCGTGCATGTCCTTTCACCATCCAGTACATGCCTTAGATAAAAAGTAGCACGTTGTCCCCAATAGGAAGGTAGTAAAAAGGAATATCTCTCCCTGATTGCATGCACTCACATTTCTCTCTCTCCCATCCCACGGATTGGTTTTATTCTCGTGCAGCGAGATCCAGTTGCCTTTTATTAGGTCACCGGCTATTTAGTTGCCGCTAATTAAGTTTCTAACTACCTAATTAGTTGAGGGTATTTTTGTCCAAAATTCTTCTCAATTTTGTGCCTTGGTCACCGTGCCTAAAAAGTTACACCTTATAGAAAGGAACGAAGGGAGTATAAGAAATACTTTTGGCATGTCCTTTGCAATAAAAAGGATTGGCCCATCTTGTTGCACCTTGTTACTTTGGTTACTTGTTAAGAATTATCTTATTTAAGAATTATCTTATTATCAAACTATCTGTCACAACTACTTACAACACTTGTAGGGAATACCTTGTTGAAACCGCTTATTGATTCTTTTTGCTCCTCGTTAGGTTCGATACTCTTACTTATTGAAAGGACTACGATTGATCCCCTATACTTGTGGGTCATCACTAGCTTGGGGATGGTTTTGTCCAGATACACATACATGCTCACAACTCTAAATTAGGATAGCACTTGGGCATGCCATATGATGTAATTAGTGCATGTGAGTTTTCCGGAGACCTGAGAGTTCAGGCTGAAGGAAAAAAGGATGAGCCAAAGGAGGATGCCATGGGAGGGAGGTGGTTGAGGAAGGTTAGATCTGATGGAAGAGAAGATCTTTGTATACCATATGAAATATTGTGAAGCATCGCAACCACTCTGAGGGGGTCGTGTGGGGTTTTATCTATCTTCGGGGCTGACCCCGTATCGCATACAAGTCTGATGGTTACATCTGTGAGGATCATAAGAAGATCAGGAGAGTAACAGAGCGATTACAACAAGTCAAAATATATCTCCTAAGAACCTAACCGTGTGGCAGCCATGACTCTAGGCGGCTGGAAAATTTCCCTCCCTTACTCTAAATATAAAGTCTATAGTCCATCATTTAGAGGTCCCTTTAAAGAAATAAGGATAAATACATGTTTAGAGTATCTGCTAGAGTGATGTTTTTTGCCTCCTAGCCCTTATATTGGCGGTTTCAATAAAAGAATGGTGCCTTTAAAGAATCTGCTAGAGTTGCTCTTACACTTGAGGACATCACTCCCGCCTTAAGTGGGAGCCAAGAAACCAATGCCATAGAGGCACTTAAATTGGCGAGGACATTAGGTCAGTCTACTTCTTTTCCCGATAAAGGACGCTTTATTACATAAAAGGTTTAAGTATTACACCCAGCCTCTGCATAACTAAGATTCACACAGCCAAAGGTCAGTCAACTTTTTTTATTTAATTAATTTATAAGTTCTAGAAGTAAGATTTGAGTAATTTACACGATCGTCTAAAAACATTATTGACTTTTAGTACTGTAATAGACTTCTCAAAAAATGTGTTGATACCAAAACAAAATATGTTTCATGCATGTATATCAAATAGAACATTAATGCAACTCATAAGTTGTTCCCATAGCAAAAAATGTCTTGTTTTTGTTTCAAAATGTGGCATGGAGATTCCTTTGTCATCGGCTGTAGATATAATAATGAATTCTAAATGTTATAAAAACATGTGTCTGTCAAAGGACTGGGTTAATTTGGCATCGCCAGTAAAAGTTGGATGTTAATTACTAATCATGCAAGGTTCACATGCACATGCATATGCAGTTTAAATTAACATGACGGTATTTTGCCTTGACACGTGGGAAATTAATGTGGTTATCAACAATATACTTTTCCTTTGGCGGGAAGATTAGCTAATCATAGGAATTCTAACTCAGTTAGCTAAACCAACAGCTACTAGAATGCCCATGAAATTGGTGATATATATGCATGAACCTGGCTAAACCAACAGCTTGAAACAATCATGCATGAGGTTTCAACCACTGTTCTAGCAGCTATATACATACATATATTTAACCACACCCAAACTTGCCATTTAAAGGCTTACAAATGCCACAAGATAAACGAAACCCGATATTCTAGTAGCCAGGTTCATGCATATATATATCACCCAGTCCAATCATATAAATCCTCTATGATTTTGTAATGTGTCGTGCACATTTTTCTGTGCCAATCATTGGCAAGGAAAATAGTGGGTGAAGAGCGCAGACAAGAATAAATACCTTGACAGGCACAGCATAGATTAAGCAATGGAATACTTTGATGCATCTCCCAAGCGTGAAACTGAAAGGGACATTTGTTCTACTAATTCCAGCTAGCTCTTCTTCACCAATCAAAAGGAAAAATGCTCCGTGCTTGCTTGGTGAAATGAAATGGTGGTAACTGAAAAGGGGTCATGCACGGTAGGATTTACACTTGCGGATAAAATGTATAGCTTCTTTGCAAACATCCGATGTGGAATCACACAATAGTGGAGCTCACTTTCTGTTGATTAATTTTCACCACTGTAGATTGTGCAAGTAAAGCACACACTTTCCACTACTTCAGGTGTGTGCAGGGTAGCTGTAGGGCAGTGGTGGTACCTACCCGGTACTTTTGAACCCGTTCAACCCACAACAAGACCAAGTGTCTAGAATGCCTTTTTTTTTTGCAGCTCGTAGATGAACACATCAAGGCATGAAATATTGTGAATTTCAGTTCATGGACATGTAAATCATGTGTATGTGTATATAGGAGTGGGAAGAATCTCAATATCCACCCCATCAATGTCAGGTGAACTAACATACATACATATTTGCTACTCCTCACTGATTGATTGGATACTTAGCGATGGTCTGAGGAATTAAATAAGTTTGCTATCCATTGCTGCGTGGAAATGGATATTATTGGTTTAGGTATGGTTTGACAAGGCATGGATGTTGACTCGTTAACAGGGGACAGCGCCAAGCTAATTAAATCCAGGAAACCCCAAGGTTTCTCACTTCCTCAAGCAAATGAAATAATTGCAAAGGAGCTGTTAATATACTACGTATAGAGGTAGGTCTTCACATAAGGTTGACAAGACGTTTATGACTTTGTGCACAGCTGAAATGTCTCGTGATTATCCGATTGGTTAAGTTGTATAATCGTATGCAGACGGTGTCAAGTTCTAAACGGGGGATTAAGATGGTCTTGGCCTGCTGAGTAGAAAAATGTCTGATCAAAGAACATTTTATCTTCGACAGCTCATAAAGAATAATGGTTACGTTCTCACCGGGCGGTGTAAAAACGTAAACTTTATGAACATTCTTTGAACCCTTTGGAGCATGGATGGAACGGATGGAAAAGAGAGGAGAAGGGCTGGACATGGACGCATAAAATAAAGAAACTGCTGCGGGGCCAGCCAATGGGAGATGGCAGTCAGTTCCAATGCGATAAGAGTGCAGTCAGGGAGAAGGAGAGCGAGGGTGGCTTCTTGACAAAAGCCCTTCAAGTGAAGACAAGACCCCCTACTCTACTATACCACCTTCTTCCTCCTCCTCCTCTCTCTCTCTTTCTTCTCTCCCTTTCTCTCTTTCTATCTTCACAGTTCAAGAGAGAGACCAAAACAAATTAAAGCAGGCAAGAAGGGACAAGATCCCCGGTCATCTCAACTGTGGGATTAGCAAGCAATACACACCCGCCCCACAAGGCAGGCGAAAGAGAGCGTCTGTCTGTCAGATGCATCAAGACAAGAAGTTGCAGGGTGCGTGAAGAGCAAGAAGAACACAGGACAGGAGAAAGAAAGAAAGAAAGAAAGAAACGGTCAAGCCGCCTGCTCTGCTCTGCTCAAGCCGGTCTCTTTTGTGCTGTAAAACCCAGTGCCCTGGTATGTTGTTTGTCTCCATCCTCTTCCTCGCTCGCATGCCTTCTGTTTGCTGAGGTAGATATATAGGCATAGGGGGTTGCCTGTGTGTGTTGCTCATGTGAGGTTTTCTTGTGCGGCATGCAGAAGCAAGGCAGCCAGGAGCACAAAGAGTCTCCCTACTGGGAGTGGGAGATCGAGGCAGCAAGACTTTCGGCTTGGAGGTCGAGGATGGAGGAGGCCAGCAGCAGTTCGGGCCATCCGAGGCACAGGGGCCCTCCTCCTCATCATGTTCTTGGCTATGGCGGCTTCCATGCCGCCATGGCCATGCCAACCAACTCCATGCCTCCCGCAGCCTTCTTGTAAGAGCAACCTTTTCCCTCTTTCTTGTCGTGGTTTTGTTTTGTCTTGTCGGTCATCTCTCTTCTGCTTCTTTCCCCTATATGGAAAACAATAACCATGATGAACAACACGCGCTTGGCTGTTCAAGATTTGGCAGACACGAATCCTGATTCATCATCTCTGGCCTCTGCATGCGTATTGCCTTGTATGGAGTTTTTTTTGTCGGCTTGCTGTTCTTCATGCTTCATGCCGTCGATCCTGTGTGCGTCTGTATACACTCATACATGCATACATGCATACATACATAGGAATCTTTCTGTAGATATATCACGTAGTATTTGGTTGGTGATGGCAATGTAATGGTGACGGTCTGTACGTGCATGCAGCAGCGAGCAAGACGGAGGAGGAGGAGGCGGCGGCGGCGCCTACTTCGGGGAGCTGGAGGAGGCCCTCATGCACCAGGTCGCCACGCTCAGCAGCAGCGGCAGGATGATTTCGCATTCCCATTCCCAGCAACAAACTGCAACGGCCACCTCCACGGATCATCCTCATCACCACCACCACCACCACCATGGACACAACCACGCCATGCGTACGTACACACAACACCTCTCTCTCTCTCTCTCTCTGCGTGTTTCTCTCTCTAGCCAAGCGAGTCCAAAGAGCACAAGGCTGCGAGCCACTTTACCAAGAGGTTAGGGCATCCTAGTCAAAAGTAACCATGCAGTGCGGCAGGAGTGGCAGTTGTGTGTGTGTGTGTTGCCTGTGACCCCCTTCTCTCTACCCCATGGACCATGGTACTAGCTAGATAGAGTAGTGAGTGTATGTATGCATGTAGACTGCAGCAAGTCTGGCTTGGCTGGCTGGCTGGCTCTCTGCAAGCAAGCAAAAGCACAGCTCAAAGGGAATAACCCCCAAGGCCACTTTCAGTTTCACTGCCACAGTGGGCCCACGCGACCGCTGCTACCCCTACCCCTTTGTGATCACAGGCAGTACTAGCGCCGCAGCCTTTGCACTTCACCTCTCTCTCTCTCTGCTGTTGCCTGTTGCCTGCTGCGATGCATGTCTTGATCTCCTCCACCCCTATCATATCTTCTTGCAGCCTTCCCCAGTACTGTGGCTGATACTGCTACAGCGGCAGCGGCAGCAGCTAGGCCGCCTCCCACACTGGACATCTTCCCCTCCTGGCCGCTCGCTCTCCATCACCACCACACACCCAAGGTAAATAAATATACTACTACTCCGTATCATCATTCAAGGACACGTAGTACGTACTGCAGCAAAAAGATCGAATTACTACAAGCATTTTGCACCTAAAACTGTTCTTCACTGTGTTTGTTTTTTGGGCAAGCAGGAGGGTTCAAATGTGACAGCAGACAGCACAGACTCAGAGAGCAGCAGCAAGAACAACATCAACATGGACTCATCGGATCATCACCAGCACCAGCAGCACCAGCAGCAAGGGATGGTAGGATTAGTCACCGTGGCAGGCCAGTTCCATCAGATTTCACAGCAGCAGCACCAGCAGCAGGTACTCTACCACTGTGAATGATCATACTCTATCAAATTCATTTAATGCATTGGCATATGCACTGTTGCTTGGCTTCCTGCGTGTCTTTGTTCTTTGCTTCTCCACATTCTCCCCTGGCCATCATCATCCATCTCTCCTACTAGAGCTAGAGTAGATGGCTAGCCTGGTGCCATGTCAGTAGCTAGCTAGGCCACAACTTCCAAGATGCTCATGTAGCAAAATGCTTCTGCCATAGGCAGCACAAGAAAGAAAGAAAGAAAGAATCCACACGGTTGAGGCAGGGTGTGCATTTAAGATGTGTTGCTGCCCCCAAGATCTCCAATCCCAACACGTTAGGTGAACCTTTTTTCTTTTCTTTTTTTCTTGTATGGACCTATAGAAACAAATCTAGAGAGCTTGTTGGAATAGCAACATCTTCCTTCCATTCTAGGCACACACAGATGGATAGATAGGTGATTAATGTAGAGGATATGTTAGATTAGAGCGTAGCTGCCATGCCATTGCCATTGCCACTGCCATTGGTGATGCAATAGGAGACAAGGGGTCATTCTTACAATATTGTCTCTAGCAAGAAACTGTGGCCTCAATTAGTTGGGTGCTTGAATAATGCCACCTTGGGTCAGTGTCTGCTTTAGGTGCACGCTGCTTTCTGGTCAATTGGTGAACTGCCAGTGCCAGGGTATATGTATATCAATATTGTTGGATAGACAAATAAGCAAGACAAAATCTTATGCACTAATTAATTAATCCACGCTTCTTTCTCAAAACAAAATATAACAATTCACACTCGGCTGAAAGAGAGCCCTGCAAATTAGGGGGCGACGCGACAGCAACACACCATCAGAAAAGAAAAGCAGGACCTAATATATACTAGTTTTTTTTGTCTGTTGTTGGAGTGGGTGGTTTCCACCAAATGTACATTGCTGTTTCTTTATATGTGCTTGATGTAACGTGCATGCAGTAGAGACCATACTATATATACTAAGTATTTGCTTGATTGCACCATGGACACATTGTTCTTCCATCTCCCAGCTCTATCATACTAGTAGTGTCTTAAGTGAGCATGATGTGTCAACTGATTGCTTCTTATTGACATTCTTCTTCTAATATGCAATGTCGTGACCCATATATTTGAGAGAAAAAAAATCAAATAACTGATTTTAGCTTGTGCTGGACTTCTTATGGTCGCTTGTCATGTGCAGAAGATGGCAACAAGTTCCACTCACAGTGACAGGACTGGCAAGGCTCTTGATCCAAAGGTACCATCGAAATCTATGTCCCTGGAGCAATGCAACGCATTTTGTTTTGAGAATCTTGAGATTTATAATGAGTTCTTCTCCCTTGGTGATTAGCAGACGACGAGGAGGCTAGCGCAGAATCGAGAGGCTGCCAGAAAAAGCAGGCTTCGGAAGAAGGTGGACCATGCTTTGTAATCTGAACTGAATTGGTGTTCCCAGCAATGAATTTGCCAAGTTATTGACTTTTGCATCTGAATTATCCATCATGTGTAGGCTTACATTCAGCAGCTTGAGAGTGGCAAGCTGAAGCTTGCTCAACTGGAACAGGATCTCCAGCGGGCTCGTTCTCAGGTGCTTTCTCATTTCTACAGCTAATTCCCATGTGCACCTGTGCATATATCCTGTGCATATATGATCACAAAATTCACTCGAGTTAGAAAAATATCATTCAAGTTCCTTCTATGCCAAAGTATCGAGCTAGGTTTTCATATTGTAAAGTGTGATATGAACCTGTGAGCTTTGTGTAGGGACTCTTGGTTGGAGGAGCTCCAGGTGGAAACTCCAGCCCTGGTGTGTAAAGTCAACCCCAGTATCAACTCTCCTGCGCATTCACTGATTAGAATGTGTGGTGGGAATCTGGTTAAGATTTGGCATTGGACTGAATACGAATTGTGATATCTATTTTCCAGGTGCTGCTATGTTCGATGTTGAGTACAACAGGTGGCTGGACGACGACAGCAGGCGCATGATTGAGCTCCGGGGAGGCCTGCACGCGCACTTGCCGGATGGTGACCTCAGGGCCATCATCGACGACACCTTGACCCACTACGATGAGCTCTTTCGCCTCAAGAGTGCCGCTGCCAGGGCGGACGTCTTTCATCTCATCACTGGGATGTGGGCGACCCCAGCCGAGCGCTGCTTCCTTTGGATGGGCGGCTTCCGGCCCTCTGATCTGCTCAAGGCATGTGCCTCTAACTACACTGAACATTAGCAATGTTATTCCTAAAAAAAATAGAAACGAAATCAACTGTCATTTTCGTTTCATAGTTTCTAGCAAAAAAGGTTCATTTGATAGTTCAGGAACCGAATTGCCAAACAAACTCTCCAAGTGTACTAATGATATCCTAATGAAAGTACATACTTCCCACTGTTGCTGCAGACACTGGCACCTCAGCTTGATCCCTTGACTGAACAGCAAATGGTTGGCATCTGCAGCCTTGAGCAGTCATTGCAGCAGGCAGAAGAAGCTCTCACCCAGGGCCTGGAGCAGCTCCATCAGTCATTAGCAATCACGGTGGCAGGCAGCGGGTCTCTTAGCGACGATACCAACATGGGGAGCTTCATGGGCGACATGGCCGTTGCTCTCGGCAAGCTGGCCAACCTTGAAGGCTTTGTCATACAGGTAACCGAAGATGTGTCACTACTCTTCAAACTTGACCATTATGTCAGTGTATGCTAGACTATTCGCTCATCTTATTCAAATTTGTAGATGAGCAGTGAAGTGCCTGGTAAAACTTGTAGGCAAATGTAGCAACAATCTGCATTCAGGGGAAATTTATTGCTCTGGCCACACCTAAATCATTCTAGCATCAGTTCTGCTACTAACTGTGCCAAGAATAAGTAAACATTTTAAACCTCACAAGTACTTCCACTAATAGTGCAAAAGATAATTGATTTGCCAATTTAAAAGGTCAATCTATCCACAATTCGCAAGTTATCATTCTTTTAAACTTCATTTGTTCATCTGGTGTATTCAAAAAGTTTACTGCTAGCATCTGCTGTGAGTTTTAGCTGCCAGGAATAAGATCACTGAGGCATGTACTAAAACAACATATGTGACATGCCATTTCCAGGCTGATAACTTGAGGCAGCAGACTCTTCACCAGATGCACAGGATTCTGACAGTTAGGCAGGCAGCTCGATGTTTCTTGGCTATTGGCGAGTACCATAACCGCCTCCGTGCCCTAAGCTCCCTCTGGGCTTCTCGCCCTCGAGAGTAAGTACCATGCAATTCTTACCTCTGTCCTGTGGTTAGTTTTCTTTTGCTAAACATGAAGTCTGCTACCTGTAGCTGTTGAAGTTATAGCCTATCTACAATTTATTTTTTTAAATCTAAGTGCATATGATTGAGCAAGGGCTTAATAGAGGCGAGAATCATCTTAGTTTATAATACCCATATTTGCCCTACTAATCAGCATGGAATCGACCACCCTCCTACCAGCAATCAAAACTCAAAAGTCAGCAGGCTTGTTTTCTACACCATAGCCTGCACTAAAACAAATGGCAAAAACAAGGTGCATCTATGGTGTGCAGAAAAAAAACTAGGGATGGTTTCTTTCACTTTTTCCTGGGATGCTTTCAGCTACCCTGCCTCTGTTTCTTTTCCCTAGGATATGTTTGGCTATCCCTGCCAACTAACCATTTTCTGTTTCGGCCTAAAAGAAGCATAGGTTCAGCAGTTGTAGTACCATTTTTCTGGATCTATCTCTGATCTATTTATTGCTGGTGCATATATTGCCTGCAGGATACTGATGACAGATGACGGCAATTGTGGAGAGCTAAGCATTGCAGCACATCCATCTGAAAGCCAATATTCAGCCTACTGATTCAAATGTATCTTGGAACTAACCTTCAAAGTAGGAGCATAAGCAAAACAACTGGGAAGAAATTTTTTGGATGTAATGTAGCAGATATGTGAGAAACAGAGAGCTGGGAAACAAAGGAAGCTCCAGAAATGGGAGAACTTGTCAGAATGCGTAGAACTGTCATCAGATTTTCTTGAGTCAAATGGTTTAATGTATCCTGGAGTGAGAACAAATGAAGGACACCCAGAGTTCATTATTGAAATAGTACTTCAATTTGTGTTATTTTCATTACTTCTGGCTGCATTTTGTAAGAACACCTTCTACCATGCACCACTACCAAAATATCTAGAATTGAATAGGTGAGCTATCTGACAGAATTTCAAAAAAATATCACTGCCAGAAAACGGGGAAAAGGTTAGATAAAATATATTGAAGCACTGATATTCAGTCACAATTTTTTTTATCATTACGAGGGAACAAAGGGGTAATCTCTGAGCATGAGTACACAAACCTGTTCCAGATATCAAATTTAGTACCTCATTCAGAGTCTTATATTGCACACACTGCTGTTGAGTTATAACTGCAAACTACATTTGATTTTTACATCTGTACGGTTCAAGCAGGCTAGTACCTATTCCCTCCGTTCCCAAATATTTGTCTTTCTAAAGATTTCATCAAGTGACTACATACGAAGCAAAATGAGTGAATCTACACTTTAAAATATGTCTACATACATCCGTATGTTGTGTCCATTTGAAATGCCTAGAAAGACAAATATTTGGGAACGGAGGGAGTAGATAGTACGCACAGGAAAAGAATTGTCATTTGAAGTTAAACCTTGCTACAATTTTGCAACACAGATAATAGAAACCAGCTTGAGGATAAGTTCAAGTTTCTTCCGTTATAAACCAAAGTGTACACTCCACAACACTGAATTTGCTGTGAAAAGAGTTGCTTAGAGGAGCAACTACCACACATACATTGAACAAACACGTACAAGAAAGGAAGGACTTTCCTGCATCTTCAGGGGGGAAATGGAGGATTTCCTTGTGTCACACATGATTGACATGTGGAGGAATATTTCAAATAGAGAATGGCAGGTATTCCTATACAATATGGCTTTACTCTGTTTTGGTTCTAACCTCACAGAAGAAGTATATCATGTAAGAAAGAAACCAGCTCACAGTTAATTATCTTTTTTCTGGACAACTCGACTTTTGGACCAATCTTCCAAAGTTTTGCGGTGAAGAGCGTTCATTTTGATCTTCCTCCTTCCTCGGATGACGTTTTCAGCATCTTTCCAGTTTTCGGCAACGCCCGTCGCCACTAGAATTGCGCACATGACACAGGCACTTCTTCCATGACCTGATGTTGTTGTAAATCATGCACAGAACAGATAGCCATTTTATCTTCATGTGGTGTCACTTACAAATAAATACAACAAAATTACCAAACTACGCAATGGTTCGCCGAAAGTAGAATGCAAACAAGAGAGGGTGATCATTGCTAACCAAATGCGCAGTGGACATAGACGGGCTTCCGCTGGGCTCTCTTCTCGCAGGCCCACCGCGCCGCGAATTCGATCTGGGACGGTAACGGGGCCCTGGTATCCCAAGTAGCAAGACAGACATACTCATCCACCTTCACAAACGAGCTCCTCGGCAGCTCACACGTGCAATCTACGACGGACGGATCCCCGGGAGGCAGGTGCTTTGGCATGAACGGCCAGCCCCCGAGGTAGAGCCCCTGGGCGATCTCGTCGTACACGTTCTCCTTCCTGAGGAACCTCTTCACCTTGGCGTACGTGCGTGCCAGCATCAGGAAGGGGCCGAAGAGCACGGCCGACCAGAGGGGGAACCGGCCCGACGGGGTCTTGCCCAGGATCCAGGGCAGGTTGACGGCGGTGTGGGACGCGACGGTGACGACGTAGGCGACGCAGCTGGTAGCGAGGATGGGGGCCGTGGCGGCGGCCCTCACGCCGGCCTGCCGCAGGGCGAGGGACGAGACGAGGAGCGCCGTCGCGGCGATGCCCGTCACCTTGGAGATCCCCATTGCTGTCTTCGTTACCGAGGTGGAATCTGGTGTTAATCTGTTTGGGGGTAATGTCGATTGAATCGAAAACGGAGTGGATCAAGAAGCGATCTGGATGTGGAGAAGTTACCGGCGGTGGCTGAGGGCGTGCGGGCGAGGAGACGGGAGGAGGGAAGAGTGGTGGGGAGGAGATGCGGTGGAGCGGGGGAGGAAGAGAAGGCGGGAAGAGCGGGGGAAGAGGACAGGAGAGACTCCCCGACATAGTCGGGTGGGTCGAGACCGAAACATTGCTGCCATGTCACAAAAATGAAAAATCGGGTCATTCATTTGAAATGGAGTATAAAAATTGCTAAAGTTACCTTTTTCGGAGATTTTTTGGGGAAAGTGGAAATTTTAAAAGCAGACCCATCTCCACCTGTTTTTTTTCGAAAAAATGTTACCTAGACTCGTCACCCCAAACCACGAAGACTCCCTAAAGAAAAGTTAAAAAAATCACCCATGCCACTACATGACACGTTTGAGTACGATGTCGAGCTCACAGTGAGCATGCACTCATGCCCTCTTCTCTGGTAACCTAGCCAGGACGAGCCGAAGTTGAAGATTGTCACGTTAGATCCCTCTGGTCGCGGCCATATTCACCAATGCCTTCATCGAGCATCGCGTGACGTGGATCAAACGGACACGCATCTCCATCGTCGTCTCGTAGCAGCACTCCAACCTTCACAGTAGGCCGTCCTTGAACAGGATCTCTTCATCGGTGTCATGTGGGCTTTTTGCCCGGTGAGATGCTCATGTGGCGCGAGCTTACGCCATAATTGACGCCCCTGCTAGATTTTTGCCTGAGTGGCGGAGAAGGCACCCGACTGGTGGATCCACAACAAGGGTGGCTCCGGCGACAGAGCTGGAGTAACCTCCCAGGACTGGTGGACCAAGAGACTGACAGATGTCCCCTTCTCATTCGAGCAGGAGTCTAGCTCCCAGTCGATGTATCCGGATTAGTTAAACTCATATATGTTGCTAGTCATGTCGGAAATGTCCGGAGAGGTTAGGTTGGGGAGCAAGGCAGACTGAAAATGGAGTTAATCGAGAATCACTAGGATTTGATCCAGAGTGGAATTAGGAAGGGGATTTTGTGGCATTGAGGTGGACAGGTCCGACATGGCAGACACGTTTGGGCGGCTCCAAATCTGTGGCACATATGAACTAGGTTTAAGGGGTGTTCGTCAGCCTGGCTATATAAGAATATAAGATTGGTCTGGGGGTCTGGTTGGATGATTGTTTTTACCAAGATGGTGTTTGGTTTGTCCGATCGGACATATAAAAAGAAGTGGAGGGTCCGATTGACGATGCTCTTAGTTTCACTTCCAGGGTCTACACTTTCTTATACCATCTCAATTTTGAAACGGTGGAGAAAAATGCACTCAAATATGTGTGTTTTCAGTAGTAGTCATGAACTGAGATAGCACAGAGTTCTGTTGTAGATTTCCACTTTCAAAAAGAGTCTAGTAAAACTAAATATTACATCCACGTCCTTTTTAGAATCGTTAACGATCTCCTCTCCCTTTGATGACCCACAAGTATAGGGGATGAATCATAGTCATTTCGATAAGTAAGAGTGTCGAACCCAATGAGGAGCAAAAGGAATCAATAAGCGGTTTTCAACAAGACATTCTCTGCAAGTTTTGTAAGATTGTTTTGGTAGATAGTTTGATAGCAAGATAATTGGTAACAAATAACAAGTAAAGAAAAGTAGCAAGGTGCAGCAAGGTGGCCCAATCATTATTAATACCAAGGACAAGCCGGAGATACTTCTTGTAGTAATTAAAGCGCTCTTGAGGACACACGGGAATTCATCTACGGTCCATCGACTCGTATTCATTGCTTTGATAAGTTGCTATGTGGGTGGACCAAAGCTATGGTGCTATTCTTACTTGAACAGACAACCTACTTATGATTACCCCCTCCTGCAAGCATCCGCAGACACAAGAGAAGAATCAAGATAAATCTAACCATAGCATGAAACATATGGATCCAAACAGCCTCTTACGGAACAACTCACAAACTTGGATTTAGGTTTCAGTCACTCCCACAACCCATCATCTACAGACTAATTGTAAGTGCATCTAGTGTCACCCCTTGTTGGTTTTGGAGTATTGACGACAAACTTGGTTGAGGGACTAATGTGTTTGTGAGATTCAGAGGAGAACACGGGTAGAAGTCCCTATTGATTCGGTTTACCCATCAAAGATGGCCCCTAAAAATGTATGAAGACATTGAAGATAGTTCACAAAGAAATTGATGTAGAAGACAATGGTACGCGAAGATTTCCGCTTGAAGACAATGGAGCGCGAAGACATAGTATTTTGGTAGTTTCATTTTCTTCTTTCTTGAGTCATAGGAACAACCGCACTATTAAGTAGGGTCGAGGTAAACAAAGTCAGAAACTATGTGATGCTCAACCTAAAATCCTATGTCTTCCAGTGAAGACAATGAGAGGAAACATCTTCTAGAGTTGATTGAGTTGGCTTTACTTGGAGCTGAAGTAAAGTTGTCGTGTGTGTTTGAAATCAGATCGTTGGACACGTGTCGGTTGTCCACTGACCCAGGGTCATTTCGAACATATCATGTCGGGGTTGCCTCCTGGATATAAATAGCCACCCCCTCCACCATGAGTTGGTGGCTGCTCCGAGTTAGTGCATGACTTTAAACGTTTGAGAGCAACTCACCTCCAAAGTCTTTGAGAGAGAATCCTTGCAAGGACAAACCCAAAACACCAAGAGCCCAAAAGTGATTGAGCATCACTGAAGCCTTTATGTTCCGTGTGAACTGGAGACTTGGTACACCTGAAGACTATGATCTTCCAGCTGGTTAGACGTCACGTTCTGAGAATCCAAGAGCCATTGTGGATTGTCGATGAACGAAGTCTGTGATGGTTTGGAAGTCTGCCTTGAAGACTTACCTGAGTGATTAGGCGAGATTTGCGGATCTTA